TCTGTGTGCACTCCAGTATGGAGAACAGAGGACAGCTTACATGAGTCAGTTCTCTCTCCTTCCACCTTCAAAGTCATGTCATCGGGCATAACTGTAAGCACTTTGACCCACTGAGCCAACATGCCAACCTAAATTATGATTTTATGTTGGGTTGCAGTCATGCTATCCTTGGCTACATGTGGCCACACGGGCTACAGGCTGGACACACCCGAAAGTATGAGCTAACAGGACCTTGAGCTGGCTAGGATGAAAAGTGTCCCAGGATTTCTGACTGATGCTCAAGTCCTGCTGCCCCATAAGATTGTGAGAATTGTGACCTTAGTGAGATCCTTTGCATCCTCCAATCCATCTCCTGGAGGGACTTCTGATACTGTTCCATTCACTCAGAACAAAATCCAAAAGCCCTGCACAGCTCACAGAGCTCTGTGAGGATCAGTCCTGTCTCCTCTTTTTTTAACAAGTTCAGTTCTTCCCTGGACTCATGGCCCAATGGGACCGCCTTCAAGCTTGACAAACACCATGAGCCCGTTCCATCAGAATGAATGTATCAGTGTCTGCTAGCATGGTATTAGAGCAAAGGTTGAGCATCTTTGGAGCTGGGTCTTGATAATACACTGGATAAACTCAAGCCAGATTCCAGCCCTAGCTCTATCCATCGCCCCTCTAACCCTTGACTCTATGCACAATCACCTTGTTTTCACACAGTTGGGGTGACATACTAGACATTCTAGGATGGCAGAAGGACGCATGGAATATCCTATGGGAGACCCACATACAGGGTGGGTGCATAGCAAGTACATACATGGCATAAGGACATTTCAGTCCACAATGGGCCAATCACATATATGACACTGATCCTGCAAGATTATAATAAGGTTGGGGAATTCCTATTATCAAATGACATCGTAGCAACCACAGGAATGCCCCAATGCAAACATCACTCATGGATCTGTGGTGTGAACAGTGCCAATTGTAAGAAACTAAATCATATACAATTTTATACAGTACAAGATGCTTGATAATGATAATAACCATATATGTATTAATATGCTCTATGCTGTGTTTATCATTATTTTAGAACATACTCTTGCTGCTTGCAAAGAACAGCTTACTGTGAAATAGTATACCTCTTTATTGCATCAAGAGTTTACACCAGGTAACTGACCTGCCCTGTCTAGGCTTATGTAACTATACTCTGTGTCATTCACACAATGATAACATTATCTAGTGATTCACTTATAAGAACCTGAGACATATCAAGTGGCATGTGACTATACTTAGTTGTTTGCTACTGAGCATGTTTGTTGTCAAGGGAGAAAGGATCAAAGAAAGGCACTTCCAAATGCCAGAGTGGGAGGCAGAACCTAGAGCTCAAATGGGAGGAGGGGCTGAGGCAGTGAGGGGAGTCAAGTTGGTGGAGGAGCCCATCTTCTGTGAGAGCACAGGGGAGGGAGTGTTAATACATAGATGCTCTGAGGAAGATAGCAAGAGAGAAAATCAATCCCCAGCTCCTCAGACATTGCGGAGTTGAGGCAGAGTAAGAGCCAGGCTCCAGGGAGGACAGAGGAACTTTAAAACTAAGGGGGCTGGAGAGATGGTTGAGCAGTTAAGAGCACTGACTGCTCTTGCAGAGGATACAGGTTTGATTCCTGGTACCCACATGTCAGCTAACAACTGTCCATCTCTCCAGTTCCAGGGGATCCAACACCTTCTTCTGACCTCCGTGGGCACTGCACGACATGGGTGCACTTACATGCATGCAGGCAATACACTCATGCACATAAAGTAAAAATAATAATAAAATGTTTTTTTAAAAACTTAAGGCTAAGAGAAACAGGAGTTGCCTCCTAGGAGCAGCTCCCAAAAGCAAGAAGAGGGCATGGGAAAGTCAGGGCCCAAGCCACTCACCTGTACAAACATCCTCTGACCTTGAACATCACTCTCTAAAAACTCATCCTCATCCTTTTCCACAGGAAAGGCAAAGAAGAGGTACAGGCACTGGAGGAGCAGGGCCGGAAGCCCCGACTCGGCCACTCTGCCCAGCGTCTCCTACAAGGGAAGCACACAGGTGACCCACAGCAGAGACACGCAGACCTGAGGGGGGCCCCACATCTGTGGAGTTGTGGGAAAGCCACTTCTACTCTTGGCCTTCCACATCTTCAAATGAGAAGTGCAAGCAATTCCAGGACCTACCTGTGGTGACTGCTTCACTGCAGGGTAATGCCCTCCTCTTTATTGGACCCTTGGATATCCATGACCCCTGAGGGCAGCTGTCCCTGTCCTCCTCAACTTGCACAGGCTTCACTGACAGCAGCTCTTAATGTCCCACACTCATTCAGGGCTGTCTACTTATGTGGACGTAAGGCCTGTAGGTGGGTTTGTCCTACTGAAACTGCAAACAAGCTCTCTTAAGGAGGAGACAGGCCCAACCTCTGGGCTTCAGGGTCCTGTGGTGGCCCAGGCAGTTAAATAAAAGTCAGGGATCTTCCCTGCATCTGAGATCAGCCTATGAACCTGTCCCACACAACCATGGCATGCTGTGCACCCCAGTACCACCAGTACCAAATAAATATCCAAATATCTACCTGGTACCTGTGCTGCCCCTTGTGCTGAGGGTCCCTGCTCCACTACCTCCATACCCACTCCCACTACTGGTGTGAGTCTCTTAGTTCATCTTGCATAGGCCTCTGGCCATCTCTGCTGATAATCACAGCTGCCAGGAGTAACCTCTTCCTGAGAGAAGACCAACCATTCACCCAGCAACCACTCAGAAGGAAGCCTGAGGCTCCCAGCTCCAGGACAGGAGGACACAGCCACTGCCAGCATGGGGCATGGCACACTCAGGACAAGGGCCTATAGGTGAACCTCATTCCAGTTGGACCAATCAGGAAGCAACATGGAACCCAGGGCAGGGGCTCTGGAGGGAGATGGACTAGAGTTTCACACAGAAAAGCCTCCAGTGCACTCCACAATCCTACTCAGGGTTCCTAGAAGCATTAATTAGCACCAGGCATGGGACACACCCAGCCTGTTCCCCACCTGTAGGAAATGGTTGAGGAACATCAGCCATTAACATCCCCACACTAACCCTAGAAAAAGAAATGGCTATCTCCATTTCTAAAATCAGAACCAAAGCCAAGTGGCAGAGTCATTTGCCAAGGGTAACACACTTGTCAGCTGAGAAGGCAAGGCCCAGGCCTGAACACCAGGCCCTGAAGTTCATATGTGACATCAGAGAGGTAGAAGGGAGGAGAGACAGCCAATTCACAGAAAGGGATATACACCACCCTAAGCTGGATTTGACTTCTCTCTGCCCAGAGATAAGGGGCAACTAGGGGCACCTTGGAAGAGGCCAGGAGGCCTGGAACTCACCGAGTCTGTCCCCGTGAGCACATACACTGACTTCAGGAGCAAGAAGCTCTCCTGATCCACGTCCCCCTTCCACCGCAGCAACTTCCCAGCTGCGGCCCGGGCTTGCTCTGGAAGGAAGTGTCAATAGCTGGTTGGTAGAGTAACCTGCCCACCCAGCTTCCCTCCATCCAGGGCCTCCACATCCCCAAAGATGTGCCTGAGCACTGCTGGAGGTCTCAGATGTCCTGCCCACACACCCCAAGGCCATAAGAGTCTGTCCCAAATGTTACTCTGTCAGCTCAACCTCCTTGTTTAATTCATCATCAGTGTGTAACAGTATCAATGTCTCCCTACTGCCAAATGAATGGAAACAAGCGACCAGACCCCCACAATCCAGACTTTTCATCCCACTTCTTGCATGACCCAGCCCCTTACACTGCTGGAGGCCCTGCAATTCATGCCATGTTCAAACTTCCTTCCACCTGGAATTCCCTCCTGTCCCTCACCCATAGACACCCCAACACTGCACCAAGCCTCCAAGGGCCAGCTCACTTGACTGGAAGAATGAGTCAGGAGACCTCACAAAGATGCATGCTCTGGCCTCTCTGCCTGTACCAGACCCAGAGCTCCATTAAATACATGGGTACTCCTCTGACCCTAGTACAGCCTCCCTGAGATCCAGGGCCCGTGTGTGTGTGTGTGTGTGTGTGTGTGTGTGTGTGTGTGTGTGCATGTGTAATGTGTCTAGCATGGCTCTGTGTGTATGTGGTGTGTGATTGTGTGTGTCTGTGTGTGCAAGAGGGGTTTGGGAGGACGATGGGTCTATAGATGACTCTGCTTTCCATCCTGTGCTCCGGAACCTCTCCTCTTACCTGCGGGCTTTCCAGCAAGAGCCTGCTGTATTTCTTGAGCAAGCTGGTCAGACACATCTTCTGCCAGTCTTTGGAGACTGTGAAAGCAGATGATGCCCACGGAGTGTTCCCAAGCCTGACAGGCAACAAACAGAATTTAGTCAGAGGGGCAAGTGCTACTAGCAAGGTATGTAAGTCACCTGGCCTGCCTCCAGCCTGCCAACGGCTCCCTTCCCTGTCCCAAGAGCATCCAGAAGATTTCCTGCTCATCCCCCACTGTGATGGCTAATCTTGGTTGTCAACTCGGCAGTATTTAGAATCATCACAGAAACTCACCTCTGGACATGTCTGTGAGGGATTTTCTAATTAGCTTGACTGAGCTGGGAAGAGTCACACAAATGCGAGCAGCACCGCTCCCTGGGCTGGGGAGCTGGGCTGACAGAAAAGGAGAAGGGGAGCTGAGCACCAGCATTCATCTCTACTTCCTGAATGGAAATGTAATGTGAACAGCTATGTCACACTCCCACCACCGCGACTTTCCACAGTGAACTGTACCCGCAAACTGAGAGCCAGAACAAAGCCTTCCTTCCTCAAGTTGCTTTGGTCAGATTCTTTGTCGCAGCAACAAGAAAAGTAACTAACCCACTCACCTCACAGCTTTACCCAAGACCCACACACCAAGGCCTCTAAATGCCTCAACCTCTTCCTAAGTTCCCATTACTCCTGGCTCTCTCCTGACACGTGCTCCTAAATCATAAGACACATTGGACCCAATATACATCACCTACCCTAAGACCTGTACCCTGTATCAGGGAATAGTTCTGCACAGTAGAAATCCCAGGAATGGTGCTGTGGAACAACTGTCCTCCATGCATTAACATGCCCACTGCCCTCTTGAACTATCAATGGCTGTGTGTACCTAAAGGAGACTTGTACTAGACTGGGCCCAGTAGCTTTCCATTACTGGAAGGGAAAGGGGCTCATGAGGCCACAACCCTCCCCAAGGATATATACACAGCTAACTGTTGTTGGGGAAAGAGACTTTTTCCCATCACTGGTGTAGCCCATCCTCCTGTAAGGAACCCTTCACCCATATCCCTCAAAGTAACCCTAATTACACTTATTGCTTCACCAAGTTAGAATGGAAACTTTCCTTTTTGTTTCTGTCACTGGCACCCTATCTGGGGTGACAAGACATTTTGTTCGCATCTCACAAATGGTTCTCAAGGTCTTTACCATTCCTTACCCAGTCAATTGCTTTGTCTCAGTGACTCTCTTCCTACGCAGTGACATGGTCTGCTACTGTAACAAAATGCCTGAAGTTTTCCATAGCAAAAAGGTTTTGTCAGCCCATAATTTTGAGGTTGGAAGTCCAAGATCAGGTGGTCTCTCATCTGTTTGACCTCTGACTATGACACAACAGATAGAGAAGTAGAAATGGGTACAACCACATGCAAAAGGGACCAAGCACATGAGGGCTTCGTTTTCTAACAACTTGCTCTTGTGAGAAATTGTTCTCAGAGACCAGCATTAATCACTACCAAGGGTTATGCTCCCTACTTACCTCTCTCTAGGCCCTACCTCTCAAAGCTTCAACCACTGGGCCCAAGCTTCCAGCAGGAAAACCCTTAGGGTCAACTCAAACCATGTCTAAACCACAGCATACAATTTTCAAATCTTACATATTTTGGTTTTAGCCATTCATTTATTTCCTTCAGGTAAGTTCTAAAAAGAGTGAGGTAAAGCATGGCTTTGCTTCCGTGCTCTGTACATTATTAACTCATTCTCCAGAGAGGGATTACTGTGGTGGTCTGAACAAAATGTCTCTGGTAAGCTTGTGGATTTGAACACTCAGTCCCCAGTTGGTGGCGCTGCTTGGGGAGGTTATGGAAACTTTAGGAGGTGCAGCCTTGCTGGAGAAAGTGCATTACACAGAGTGGGCTTTAAAGGTTCACGGCCTCACTCCACTTCCTGTTTGCACTCTCTGCTTCCTGTGTGCAGTTGAGATGTGATCTCTTGGCTTCCTGGTCCTGCTACTATATCTGCCTGCTGCCTTGCCTTCCCTGTCATGATGAACTCTCTACCCCTCTGGAAACATTAACCAAAATAAACTCTTTCTTCTATAAGTTGGTCATGGTATTTTATCACAGCAACAGAAAAGTAGCTAATACAGTTACCATAGTACAACCACAGACTCCATATGAGCAGGCTGATTTCTCTACTCCCACTTGAGCATCCTCTTTATTTTCACCTAATAGAGAAATGCCATTTGTCTCAAGTCTTTGGATTGTGGAGTGAAGAAAAACTTTTCCCACTTCTTACATGTTTTTATCCTTAGACTACTGCACTGCTGGAAATTTTGCTCCTTGTTTATTCAAAAGAACGCTCTGCATGCTATCTTTTGGTCTATAATACAGCTAAAATTATTTCAGGTTTGTCATTTGTTTTTGTTTTCATTTGATATTTTTTGGTTTGGTTGTATAGAAATCAGAAATTCATACAAATCAAATTTCTGAATCTGTTCTTTCTGTTTTTGTTTTTGATTCTAGACTTGGGAAGTAGTTAAGAGCATTGGCTGCTCTTGCAAAGAACCCGGGTTCAGTTCCCAGCACCCATATGGCAGCTCACAACCTTATGTAACTCCAGTTCTAGGGATCTGACACCCTCTTCTGGCCTCCATAGGCATTGCATGCACATAGTGAATTTATATGCATGCAGGCAATACACTCATACACATAAAATAAAAATAAATAAATCAGGGGCTGGAGAGATGGCCCAGCAGTTAAGAGCACTGGCTTCTCTTGCAGAGAACCTGGGTTCAGTTCCCAGCACCATAATGGCAGCTAACAACTGTCTGTGATTCGAGTTTCAGGGGAATTTAACACCCTCTTCTGACCTCTGCAGGCATTGAACGACACAGGTGCACTTACATACATGCAGGCAATACACTCATACACATAAAATTTAAAAATAATAAATAATAAATAAATGACTTATAAGTCTTCTCTTTAAAGACACATAAAGGATGTGATGAGGTGGGCTCTACATTGGGAGAAAATATTTGCAATGCATCTAAGTAACAAAGGATTAGTGTCCAGACTCCTAAAAATTGATGAGAAAAGAAACCCAATTTTAAAAATAAAACAGACAAAAGAAGTAACAGGTAATTTATAAATGTTAAAATAAATAATAACTAAGGGCCAGAAAAATACAAGCTACAACCATTATATGATCTCTTAGATCTTTTATACTTTCAGATAAAAGAAATTCTGATAGTGTAGACAGATCCTCATGCTCCACTGATGGTGAGGGGTTTGGGGGAGGGGAGGTTGGGACAGGATCTCACTATGTAGCCCTAGCTGGCCTGAAACTCACTATGTAGACCAGGCTGACTCAAACTCAGAGCTCCACCTGCCTCTGCCTCTCTGCCTCCTGACTGTTGGCATTAAAGGAGTGCACCTCCACACCTGGCCATGGTGTGGAGTTTGGAAGAAACCCTTTGAAGAAGAATTTAACCCAGTCCAATAAAATGGAAGAGGCCCATGCCCTACAGCTCCAACTCCACTCCTAGGTATACTCCCTGGAGAAACGTTGGAGCTGGACAGGAAATGCTTCCGTGATCGTGAAAATTTAGAGTAAAAGCTTATGTTAGCTCAATAGGACGATGGATGAATTGTTGTGAAATGCTTTAAAGGAGGACACTGTTCCTCACTGGGAATATAAAACTAAACATGCCAGGGTGAATACACATGACAAATGAAATGTTGAGTAAAAAGTACAAATTGTAGAGTTCATCTGAGTTGAGTCTACAAAACTTTGCTGTGAGACTGTACTCTGTACTGTGTAGGATTGAAGGGGGTACATAGCTGATAGAAGAAAGCAACCACACAGGAAATGATGTGTGCATCCCACATTCAGTATATGGTTTATCTTGGCAAGAATGGTCTCTAGGGTATGTCCATGGGGCTTTTAGTTATTTATTATTTACTAGGTGGTGAGTCATATGTTATATTTTGAGCTAAGCTTTGTATGGGGTCTGTATTGGGGGAGGAGTATTTTTATTCTCTAGCCTTTAAATGGAGATCTAACCGACAGGATTGTAAATGAAGAAAGAAAACTCAAGTGCATTACAATTTTGCTAAAATAATAAAACTGCTTGATGATTGTTGGACATAGATTTATTTAAATTTTATGTGTATGAGTGTTTTGCCTGCATATATGTTTGTGCACCACATGTAAGCAATGCCTGTGGTGGTCAAAATAGGGCATTGGATTCCCTGGAATTGGAGTTACTGATGGTTGTTAGTCATCATGTGGGTGCTGGATATCTAACCCAAGTCCTCTGCAAGAGCAGTCAGTGCTCTTAACTACTGAGCATTTCTTCAGCCCTGACACAGAAAGTCATAAACAAATACTTGACAAGTGAAGAAAATGATTATAACACCCTCAATGCACGGTAACAATGGCCAAATACATAGCGTGTTGGTCTTGTGCCAAATGCTGGGACATGCACTTGCACACCAATTCCCACTAATCATCATAACAGCCTTTGAGGTTGGCACTATTTTGGGGCACACTTTGCAAAACCTGAGTGTGATAGTTAATTTCAAATGTCAATTTGTCACAACCTAGAATCACCTAAAAAAAGAACCTGAATAAGAAATGGTCTAGATCAGCTTGGCCTGTGGGCATGTCTATGGGGTATTGCCATGTTTGTTAAATGAAGTAGGAATACTCCACCCATTGTGGGAGGCACCGTTCCCTAGGCCAGAAGTCCTGAACTAAGTAAGACAGAAGAAAGCTGGATGAGAGCAAGCAGGCAGCCTGGGTTAATTCCTTTTTCACTGTTCTTGAATATGAATGTGATATGACTAGCTGCCTGAGTTCCTGCCTTGAAGCCCCCTCAGTGACAGACTGTACCCTGGAACTGTCAGACAAATAGACCCTTTCCTCCTCTATACTTTTGGTCAGGGTATTTTAATCATAGCAACCAAAATGAAACTAGAACACTGACTGAGTAGGAAATTAAGTTCAAAGAATCAGGAGGTTGCCTCAAGAGTCCAATTGTTCTGGCCAGGCATAGTGACACATACTTGTAGTGCTAGCAGTGCAGCCTGAGCTACCTAGTGAGACCCTGTCTCAACAAAAAGAAAGAGGAGGAAGAGGTCTTGAATTACCACACACTCCAGGAGTTCAATCAAGTAGCATTTTTCAGATTCATGAAAATAACAGCCACCACCTGGGAACCAGCAGTCATTCAGACACGTTAATCCCTGCACAGAAAAGCAGCCCTCTGAGTTTGGGATTTCTGGGGTAGAATGCTTTTAGTCCTCAGGATCATGAACTCTGTTTTGCAAACTTTCAAACAAACTCTGCACCTCCTCTCAACGCTGGCAAACTCTTCAAAGACCAATTTGCAGACCATTGACTCCAGAGCATGTATATTGTCTCGGGAGCACTGGGACGCCAGGAGGCTCTGGACAATAAAGTAAATTGGGCCACTGTGACTTGAGCAGTAATTGTACTTGGAGCCAGAGCTCCCTAGGCTCAGCTCCTTCCTGGGGACCAGGACGGGCACTTCTGGAGGCTGCTTTAACTCTTTCAGGCCACCAGGGTGTCATTAGATGCACAGAGCCAATCATTGACTGAATGGTACCATTGAGACCCCAAAGAGTTAAAGCAGCTTCCAAAAGGCCCTAATTTTTTCCCAAACTGGGACTTGCTGGCTTGGAGAATATTGCTTAATATTTTAAAAAACTTTTATTTACTAACATTATCTAAGCTGTACTATCATGCCCTGTGGCTGTCCCTTCTTGTGGAAGAAGAAAGAAAATGATGCTCTGGTCGCCAAAGGAAAATAAACAGTGACAAAAGCTCTTGAGGAGATGGAAGAAAACCCCAGCTCCTGAATGACAAAGAACGTGGTTGACTTTCCAGCCTGACCACAGTGTTGTTATTGCTTTTGCTATGGTTTGGGGGGTTTACCTTTGAGTTCCAGTCATTTCTGAGGCTTTCCATGAGGTTTCCTGGTTAGTGTGACAGTGGACAACCTACTATATAAATTAAAAAGCAAAAAAGTGGTACACTAAAGCTTTTGCTAAAACAACAAAGATGTAAGTGTACAGCATCAGTTGTTCAGTCCAAGTTCTTCAAGGCGAGACTAGACCATATCTCAATCACTGCCTCAAGGCAGAGTAGATGCCAGAGTGAACAAACAGAGCTGTTGACCCCCTCTGTCCCCTCTGGAGAGCACACTTGAAAATAATTGTTAGTTAACCAAGCTATTATACCTAATGTTGTTTACCTTTCTTTAATTATCAGTAGAACCACTTTTTAAATGACTGCCTTTAATGATACAAATGGCAGCATTGGATGGGTAGTAGCTAGCTAGAAGCACAGGAGGGAGGGAGGGAGGGAGAGAGAGACAGAGAGAGAGATTCCTGCCCACATGGACCTTGACTCAAGGCTCTGTCTTCCTACTACCTGGCAGATCGGTTCTACGAGTGAGGATTCCAAGTGACAAGCAGTAACAACAACACGAGTCTCCTGAGGTCTGTGCCTAGAAATGTTCTTCTCATGTGGAGGGGTATGAGCCCTCAGCACCCCTAATCTACCACATCCACAGATCCCCCTTTTCTCCAATGTCTTCTCCCTAATTCCAGACGTTAAGAGATTTTACACTAATGTCTGGGCATTCTCTACCTACCTCGCTTCCTGCTTTCTCTCAAAGCACAAATTCTAAGAATCATCTCTAACAACTATATCTGCAGCATCAGCCCTCCTGGTATCTGCTATCACACAATCTCTTTGCAATGCGAGGACCTAGAGTGCTTCCCATCCACCAAAGCAAAGTCAGCCAAAGGCTAGAACCCAGCCATCCTTGCCCCAAGCACACTTCTCCCTATATGAGATCCTATGAGGGGAAAAGTTCTCAGAAGCCAAAGTCCCAGGTTCTAGGCAAAGAGTGAACAGCAGTCTATTGAACATTCCTAAGAACACGGCTCTGTGTGCTGCAAAAGCCATTGACCTTGTGTTGCTTCCCATGTGGTGCAATAAACTTTTTCCTGTTTGTAACACTAGAGTCAGCTGTCCAAACATCATGTGTGCGGACAATCATTTTGTCATCAAAGGAAAAGGAAGGTCCTAGCCTGGCAGAGTCATTGTCTAGTGAGTGGGACAGAGAAAGGGAAAGCAGATATGCCCCGTCCTACAAACCCAAGAACCGAGCAAGGAAGGCCAGTGGTTGATGATGCTGATCTGAGGCAGGCTTTTCATTTAAGTTCTGCTCCCAGCTAACACCTGGGTGACCTTGGCCAAGCAACTCAACATCTACCTGCAAACCTTCCCTCACAGAGTTGGGATAAATAGAGCTCCTACACCAGTTACTGTGGTGCTATCTGGTTAGTTAGAGCTTAGTGAGGATCACCTTGGTTTCATCAGCCACAGAGACTGGTTAGACATCAGTGTACCAGGCTTAAAGTCTTGGTTCTGCCCTTGTTAAGTGTTTGAATTTAGTATGTCATTTCCCTCCAGGTTCATTTCATCTCTATTATACCCCTCAATTTACAATGAGCTTGCATCCCAGCCAACCCGTTGAGAAGGGGAATAAAATCAAATGTCACTAGCCCACTGAAAATCCCAGCTTAGCCATACAGTGCTTCATATGGCATGACCTGTTCACTCTCGTGGTTGCTAACCTGACTGGGAGCTCAGACTCACTGCATCCAGCATCATGAGAGGCTAATTGCACACATTGCTAGCCCAGGAGAAAATCAAAAAAAAATTTTTTTGGTCTTTTTGAGACAAGGTCTCCCTGTAGC